TCTACCACTGAATCCAACCCATGAACACAGGGGAAAAATGGGTGATAGTGAGCCATTTTCGTGTTTGATCAAGTGTAATTAGAAACCCTGGACACATAAATCAAATATGCCAAAAATGGCCAAAAATATTCACATTTTCTAGAGAAGAAGAACAGACACCCTGTGAGGTAGGTGGGGCTGAGAGAGCTCTGACAGAAACTGCTCTTTTTCAAGAACAGCTCTTATCAGAACTACGGCTTGCCCAAGGTCATCCAGCCAGGTGCAAGTGGAGGAGTGGGGAATCAAACCCTGTTCTCCCAGATTAGAGTCCGCGCACTTAACCACTACACCAAACTGGCTCTCTATGGCAAATACCTGCGCAGAGCTTAAATTTAATCTGTTCAGATTTCACCATATTATTTATTTTAGCAGCTAATCAATTGCTTTTGTGTATATTGTGCTATAACACTGATGTAAGCCAGTAATTTCCAAGCCTGGGTTTAGAGCACATCAGTGTATTGCATTAGGAGAAATATATTAGGAGAAATGTATTGCACTAGGAGAAATATATTTGAATTAACTGAAAGGATAGCATCAGTTCATGGAAGAGGTTTCCTGTTGCCTTTTTATGAGTCTCTGTTCTGGCCTTGCCTCCTGCCAAACAGAAGGCATGCTCAGAACATTAGAACATAAGAACATAAGAGATGCCAATGTTGGAAAGGCAGGTGAGTTCCATGTGTTAATCACTCTTTGGGTGAAGAAGTACTTCCTTTTATCCGTTCTAAAGAACAGTGACTCAGGTGGAAGCATAGGGGTCAGCTCTCCTAAAGGCAGGTAATTCTTAGTCTTCTGCAGTGTTAAAGCAAACTTATTTCCATGTAACAGTAAACCTGAACCAGTTTACAGCAACCAGCCTTCAGTTTAGGGATGGTGACGAATTTTGCAGCCCTACTATTGCAACTAAAAATAAATAAATCTCTTTTAACTTGCACTTGTCCCTTGTGCCAAGTGAACCCATGTGGCTTTATTTTCATATAATTTACATTTCCTCATTCTCTTTCTCCCCATTACATTTGCACAGTGTTGAATGTTAATTTTCCATTGATTGCTTATAAATTTGTGTGCGTGTGTGATGAACTGGGAATCCTCCTTTGATTTTAATTCACAAAAATGTACGTGCTGCTTAGCTATCAGAAATTTGGAAAATGCTACCATAACCATATTTTCAAATATGTCTAAAGAAAGCTTTTTAAAAGAATCTTTGTAAGTTCTGTGGTTATTCTTAGCTTTAAACTGCAGCATTCTGCAGGGATGACTACAAGAAACATTTCTCTCACTTGCAGTCTGCTCTTTGCTCTGCTAATCGCTTTGCATGATGCCCCCGGGCAACTTAATTTGTGTTGTGCACTGGGTTAGAATGCATTTTCAAAGAAAATGTTCCACATCAGTGTACACTGGTGATGAAGGGGTGTTCAGTCACGTTCTGCTGCTTAGAATGCATGGACCATGGATGCCCCATCAGTCCTGCCTCACTCTGGGTGGCTTCAAAGGGCCTTTCCTCTTCTGCTCTGTTCAGCCATCACGGCTGGCACTCTGGGCTAGGGCTGGGCAAGACACTCTCCTTAATGTGCAAGCAGAACCTCTGCCCCTTCTTGCCCGCCTCCTAGCTGGGTTCGATTACAGCCTTCACTTTGATGAATGGAGGTCTTGGCCAGTGTTCCCTCTAAGCTGAGTTAGTGTGAGCGAGCTCACAGTTTTTTTAGCCTCTGGCTCACACATTTTTATCTTAGCTCAGGAAAGATGGCTCCAGAACAAACTAATTTATGCAGTAGCCAAATCACCTGCTCACAACTTTAATGCCAGTAGCTCACAAAGTAGAATTTTTGCTCACAGGACCCCACAGCTTAGAGGGAGCATTGGTCTGGGCTGGCTTTCTTCAGCCTTATCTCCCCAGCCCCACCAACAAGCTTACCTGGTCTCTGGTTTTGACTTCTTATTGAAAACGTTAATTCAGGACGGTGTATTCCCCTCTCCAGTGCTGCAGGGACCACAGGTTCTTGAAACCAGTAATGTAGAATCTTCAGAATAGGGTCACCACATCCATTCATTGCTGCATATTGGGCTATCATTGTACTACAGCAGTCATTTGCAAGGAGATGACTGGCAGTCTTTAAGCAGCAGCTGGACAAACACTAGTCAGGGATGCTCTAGGCTGATCCTGCTCTTTCACATATATTGTGCAGCTCCCAGTAGGGTGGCTGGAGAATCGAAGGGGAGGCATGCCTCCCCGATTGATCTTCTGTTCCCCAGCCAGCGTTCCCCACCCTGGGTAGACTTGAGGTGGGAGGAGCAGAGAAAGAAAGCAACTTTAACTTTAAATGCATTCCCAACCCCCCCCCCCCAATGGCCAGCTTGGAGACAGCATTTGTCTCTTTATATCCCTTCCCCAAGCCAAGCCAGCCAGTGGGGCGGGGAGAGACTTGGAGGACACATTTGAAATTAAAGTTGCTTTTTCCCCACCTCTCCCTCCCCCATCTATTTGCTTTCTTTCCACTTGCTTTCTTTCCACCTTTCTTTCTCTCTCTCTCCCATCTCTCGCCATCTAAAGTTAAATGTGTTCTCCAAGCCCTGCAACACCAGCCAGCTGGTTTGGCTCAGAGAAGGCATTTGTCTCTTTAAATCCATTTTCCAAGCCAAGCCAGCACGGAAGTGGGGGGCTTGGAGAACACATTTAAAGTTAAAGGCCTTCTCCAAATCCCTGTCCCATGGCCCCGCCCATTGGCTTGGAGAAAGTATTTGTTTCTTTAAAACCCTGAGCCAAGCTGGCTGGATTCGGGGCATGGGGGAGGTGTTGGAGAACACATTCAAAGTTAATGTTGCTTTCTTTCCACCTTTCCCTCCCTCCCCATTTATTTGCTTTCTTTCCACCTCTCTTTCTTACTTCTTCCTCCCTCCCTTCCCATCTATTTGCTTTCTTCCCACCTTTCTTTCTCTCTCTTTCTCCCTTCCTTTCTTTCCCCCTCTTTTCCGCCCTCCCTCCCCCTCCGTCATCTATTTGCATTCTTTGTTTCTCTCTCTCTCTCTCTCCCTTCCTTCCTCTCTTTCCTCCGATTCTCCCTCATCTATTTGCTTTCTTTGTTTCCTTTTTTCTCTCTCTCTTCCTTCCTTCCTTCCCCTCCCTCCCTCCTTCCATCTATTTGTCTTCTTTGTTTCTATTTATTTCTCCTTCTTTCTTTTCACCTCTTTATAATTCTTTCCACCTTTCTTTCTCTGTCTTCCTTCCTCCCTCCCCCCATCTATTTGCTTTCTTTGTTTCTTTTTACTCTCTCTTTCGCTCTCTCTTCCTTCCTCCTTCCCCCTCCCTCCCTGAAAAGTACTGGGTTCGCCGCATGGAGGACTCGGACGACGACATGCTGTAGCACACGTTTATTGTACTTCACATAGACAAAGACTAACTCTAACGGCCCACAGGGCCAACTATATACATATCCACCAGCACACACCCCCACTCCCATTGGAGGGTTTAAATGTCCCACCAAGGTGGCTATTGGTTGGGGCTGGGGAATCCAGGATCCGAAGTTTCTTTTGTTCTCAGATCCAAGCTCTGGCCTTTCCGCGGACCCCTGGAGGTGGTCCACGTACATAACACCCCCCATCTAATTGCTTTCTTTTCACCTTCCTTTCTCTTTTTCTCTCTCCCTCCCACCCTTTCTCTCTTTCTCTCTCCCTCCTTCCTCCTCACTCCTTCCATTTATTTGATTTTTGTCTCTCTCTTTTTACCTCTTTCATTCTTTCTTCCCACCTCTCTCTCTCTCTCTCTCTTTTAGACAAATAAATATTATTAGCAAACAAATAAATATCATTGGACAAATAAATATTATTATCAATACCTGTTTTTTCCCCTTTTGTTTGTATGTTTGGCATTTAATGTTAATAAAAAGCAAATTTGCATATTTTTTCAATAAAAATATATGTGTAATACTTGTTCATGTCTTGTGGCTCTCAAACATCTGATGTTTATTCTATGTGGCTCTTAAGTTAAGCAAGTTTGGCCACCCCTGGACTAGGTGGCCTGTATGGCCCCTTCCAACTCAGTGATTCTATGATTCTGTGATTCCTGTGTAGACATGGACTGGTTTCACATGGATGTTTTCCCCCTGGATGGAGCATAGCATGCTCCTGTTTTTTTCACAAGCCTCCACACAATATCATGTTCCTTCTGAGCACAGCTTTTGGGGCTTCTCCTTTTGACCAATCACATGAAGCTGCCTTATACTAAATCAGCCAATCCATGGAGGGGGCAGATCTAAACACTGCCATCAGAATAGGAGTGCTCAGTTCCTCTCTCTCCCCTTCAGCCCTTCAGCATGGCCTTCAGCTGTGGCTCACCTGTGACTGTAGCTCAGCTTTTAGCAGGGAGGGTGAATTGCTTCTAGCAGTGCAATCCTAAGCATGTATACTCAGAATTAACTCCCATAGAGCTGTGAGGCTTACTCCCTAGTAAGTGCACTGAGGACTGCTCCCTGAATCATGCTTTTGTATGCTTATAGATCAACAATTTTAAAAGGCTGAACAAACATCACTGGTTTATTTAGGACAGTATCATATCAATGAAAGTTTAATACAGGAGTCCCCAATGGGCAGTTCTGGAATTTTGAGGATAAGGAATGGATGACTCCACAAAATGGCTGCCATGGGCTCTTGGGGCCAATCACATGTTGGGAAGCTGTAAACCAAGTATCCTCCTATGATGGAGGCAGCTGTTTTTGGACGGTGCTTCCTATATGCATGAAAGTGGTGCCTCTTGGTTTCTTCTGAAGCACCTCCTATTCCTTTGTGAGGTGGAGGAAAGCCAGGAATGGTTTCTTGCCTTTGTTGGAGAAGCAGATGAATATCAGGAAACCCAAGGCTGATCCATTGGTCATCACTGGTTTAATGGATCATTCCTAGGTATTAATTAAGGTCTTTGGTCTAAAAGCCTATGTAAAAGCAAAATTAACAAGTTTATCCTCTCCTTTCAGAAACCCTGGAGAATGGAACTAACAAGTGTGAAAGGTGAGTAAATATTGCCTTTGTTATTTGAACATCACCAAAAATGAATTTAGTCCCATTGTTTATAAAGTCCGGTTTTGCCTTATCTCTTTCTTCTATTGCCCTCTTGTGTCTGGTTTTGTCAGAGACCTTTTATTAAACATTTGTGTTTCGTGTCGTATCACTTTTAATGCTTTTCAGTACAACTTAATAGCAACAGTAATCATCAATTCAATTCAATTCAAATACCTTTTATTGGCATACATCAATAGTAATCATTGATAATAATATGTACAGATAAATGTTTCTTGTTGCTTGATTCTAGTGCAGCTAACAGAAAGAGATCAAACAGAGACGAAACGTACTGGAAGGAGATCAATGCAGCGATGGCCTTAACAAACCTTGCGCAAGGAAAAGACAAACTGCAGGGAACGACCAGCTGCATCATTCAGAAATCGTCGCATATATCAGAAGTTAAGACTGTCAAAGTGCCACTAGTACCACCATTTTAGACTGCCGACATATTTCTTTTGCTGCAAGCAGACTTTTGTTCATGCCGTAGCTTTCTCCTGTAAACTCAAACTCGGTGACCTGAAGCAAGCATTGAAAAAAACCAGGTTCCTTTCGTATCATGGTCAGTAAAAATAACAAAGAGCACAGTCCGGTGGGAAACTGTCTTGCACAAGCACCACTGATATGAATGGGAACTATGTTCTTGCAAGGCTCCCATTCATTTTAGTGGTGCTCAAGCGGGACAACTTCCGAACAGATTTTGCCCAATTGTGGTCATAAAGAAATGTTCCTGTAGGCACCAAGTTTTGTTAAGTATAAGATCAGTTCTATGAAGTACATGTAAATAATGGAGGGGGGGGAGCTGTCCCACATTTTTTGGGGAAAAAAAATCAAACTATTAACTTATTTTATTGTATTAATCAAACTGCACATTAAGTGTCTGCATTGCTATAACACGTAAGTGCCTTGCTTTCTTACAGTAAGCTAGAACGTGGGCTCAGCCCAAGACTGCTGTGCCTCAAAGCGTCAACGCCATAATGCTTCACCTTTGCATGTAATTCAAAATGCATCCTGACCAGTCAAAAGCTGACCTCAGAAAAGGGAGAAAGAGGAACAAACCCGGGAGTGTTAGATGCACTACTTGCCTTCTACGGATTAGAGACTGGTAAATCTTTGCAATGAAATCACTACTTCTGAGTATGGAAAAGTCCACCCCTGTCTCCCAACAGTGCACACATGCTTCTCATGCAAATAATAAAAAAAATACTATGCATGTAGGTTCTTCTGCCTGCATTTGCAGTGATTTTTTTAAAAAATACCAAAATAATTGACTTTGATAAGTGCAATACTGTAAAAAAAGAACTCAGATATTTTAAGGAACATCCTGATTATCTATATTAGGGGTATTTCACGTGAGATTCAAAACGGTTCTTGCTTCAAATGCTTTGCAGTGAAACTGTAAAAACTTATGTTGACCAGAACAGTCATTCACTTTACTTTTTCGCGTTGAAACTGATTGGAAGCTTCGGTAAATAGCAAGAGAGCAGCTCCAATGAGATTTAAGCTTCAAAGATGCATAGTGCGCCAATTCTTAGCTGTTATATAATGCAAATGTTTTAAATATTATAAGTACCCATTGAAGTCTTGGCTGTAGCAAAGCTGTTTGAAAAATCCAGTTAGGGTTCCTGCCTTCTCAACTCTCCTTTTGATTTGTTTCAAACTGTCATGTAAGTAAACAAAGCAGATCTTTGTTTCTGGTACCAAATCAACCTATGTATCGGTTTATTATTTATACTGGAACCGGATCTCAGTATATAACTTTCCATGACAGAAATTGTTATTGCCAAAATGCATCCAAAATGTTTTCTTATTTTGTTACAGAAATGTAGCAGATGAAGTCAATTCCCACTTTAAAAGAAAGGAATCTATATATTATATAAAACCTGAATTAGAAACAGATTGGAAATACTAAACAATTGTGGCACTGGAGCAATTCTGAAGTCAAAGTAGATGCTAAATTAGGCATTCAAAACATCATCTTAAACCTTTACCTTTGACTGCCATGGAGAGAAGCGTATTGTATAAAATCAGGAGGTTGGAGGAAGTAGACAGGATTTTTCCTCAGCCATGCAAAAATATTCTAATCAAGTTCACCTCTTGAATAAGCAATAAATCCAAATGAAATTGATACTGAACTTGGGAAAAGAAAGAGTCGATTGTCCATAGTTCAGTTCCGGGCAAAGTTGAAACTTGGTTTATTTTCATTAAACTGGTTTGAACGTTATATCTAAATTACAGTATCTGGGTTAAATCTGGTATAAGGGCCTGATTTGTACATGGTTTGAAATTCAGGGAAGCTGCTAATCCTGTTCCATTCAGCTTTGTTGTATGTTCTTCTCAAATGAAAGCTTTTTGAAAAGGGCAAAGTGCAGCTCTGCATGACCGCAGAAGGGGCACAATTTCATTCATCAGGTAAAAAGCCTGGGACCCAGTGCAGTTCAATTCCTACACATGCCTTTGGGTACATACACATCTCTTTCATTTTCTCATTGGTCGGCATGAAAATTCTCTCACTGGTTGCTTGCCAATTAGAAGTTTATGGTAGGGGACCTCTATACTCAGAACAGCATGGTATTGAATTTAATGGGCTTGTACATGTGCCCGGTTTGTGTATGTGTTTGCCTTATACAAAATGAGCTCCAGAAGAATACAACTGGATTAAAATAAAGCATGTTTCCATTAAGTGGCCTTTGGATGGGTACCCTACTAGACCAGAGCGCCTCAACCTTTCTGAGTGTGTGGGCACCTTTGGGATTCTGACACAGCGTGGTAGGCACAACCACAAAATGGCTGCCATAAGGAGGCGGAGGCAGCCATACAATGACTGCTGCAGCTTACCTTCAGTTATACAGTGAAGGTCCTTGTGCTGTGGAGGCAGCTGCTGCTGAAGCAACATTTTTTTAAAAATCTGCACAGCCAATCAAATCTCAGAAGAACGTAAGAGAAGCCAATGTTGGATCAGGCCAAAGGCCCATCCAGTCCAACACTCTGTGTCACACAGTGGCCAGAAATACCAGGTGCCATCAGGAGGTCCACCAGTGGGGCCAGGACACTAGGAGCCCTCCCACTGTTGACCCCCCCCCAAGCACCAAGAATACAGAAACCAGTAGCCCGTCAGAAGCCTTGCTGGGCAAAAGCCTCACCTGGCCGCAACCACTTTCTAAAAACATGTGGTGGGCACTAGGAAAGGTGTTGGCAGGGGCCATGGTGCCTGTGGCTAGCATGTTGGGGATTCCTGTACTATATTTGTGTTCATAACTTTCTACTTTTGATAAGTCCCTTTGCATCCATAAGCTGACCGTCTTGTTTTCTTGGCCCATTTATGGCAGTTCCCTGTACAATGCAAAGAGGAGGACTCAACCCTTAGTGAAGCTGACTTTCAGGTATGCAAGCAGCTCTTCAAGCATAGTCAGTTCCAGTTGCACTAACATATTATAGATGCGTAGCAAATAGCAACTTTAATGTAACTTGTAGGATGCGTCTTGATGTAACATAGCATTTTGTGGTGGGTTTTTTTTTAAGTGTACAATTAAAATGATTTGATACAAAAAATATTTTGTACATAAATATATATATTTTTACTTTTTTAAATGGCTGTTTTGCATTGACATAAAAGCAGGAAATATATGTTACGACTGTATGAACAGTTGAAGTATACTTTTGATTGACTTGCATCATTCTGCGAAAGACATTCCTACATCAATGACTTTTGAGACGCGAGCTACTGGATTTTGTCATAACAATGTGAGTTTTTTAAAATTAAAAAAAACGGAGTAAACACTTCATTCTAGTTCATACTATTATAAGTTATTCTGTTATTAACTATTTTGTGACAATAAACTGTCTTGCCAAACTTTTCTGAATGATGCATTTGTTATGTTTTTATTTGAGTAAATGTTAACAAAATTGTGGATGAAAAATATCAGGGAGGGGCCCATACTCTAAGCAGCCTCTTGGGGTTCAGAATGTTTTGGGGCGCCAGTGAACCCCAAGGAGATGAGGGGTGCACCTCTTGGATTGTGCATCTCAGCCACTTGTGGAGGCAAATTTTGGACCAACCCAGGCAGAGACAGAACCAAGCTGAGGCCACTGATGGCCATATCGAAATACCGATCTGAATCACACGGTTCCCAGCCTGAAGTCCCTCAGGTCTTTAGAGCTGGGAGTTGGACTCTGAGGTGCAGTGGGAAGACATACGGAGGGGGCACGGCCTGAAAATGACGGGTGGGCATGTTCAGACAATAGAGTTCAGGCCCAATCTGAAACGGATTTCCCCCCGGAGCTCTCTTCTTTCCTAAACCTAGCTGGATGCAATAATATTGTCTGCTAAGAACAAGATGCTGTTCCAGTCGAAATACCGATCTGAATCACACGGTTCCCAGCCTGAAGTCCCTCAGGTCTTTAGAGCTGGGAGTTGGACTCTGAGGTGCAGTGGGAAGACATACTGAGGGGGCACGGCCTGAAAATCATGGGTGGGCATGTTCACACAATAGATATGGGGCAAACCAAATTCCCTCCAGAGTCCAGGCCCAATCGGAAACGGATTTCCCCCCGAAGCTCTCTTCTTTCCTAAACCTAGCTGGATGCAATAATATTGTCTGTTAAGAACAAGATGCTGTTCCAGGCACACAGAGCGGCATGGAAGGCTGAGTGGGAGTCCAGGAAATGTGATTCCTAGGATCCCTAGAGGCTGATGCAAATATATGGATTCAGTAGCCGGGCAGGGAAACACAGAGGTGGGGTTGCAGCTCTGGGTTGAGAAATTCTAGATTTGGGGCTGGAGCCTGGGGAGGGTGGGATTTGGCATGGAAAAGGAGCTCAGCGTGATATAATACTATATAGGGCTGCCAGCTCCAGGTTGGGAAATAGCTGGAGATTTTGGGGGGTGGAGCCTGAGGAGGTGGGGTTTGGGGAGGGGAGGGACTTCAATGGGGTATAAATCCATAGAGTACATTCTGAAGTGGCCATTTTTTCCAGGTGAACTGATCTCTTGCCCGGAGGTCAGTAATCCCAGGATATCTCCAGCCACCAGCTGGAGGTTGGCAACCCTAAACCCCCTCCAAAACAGCCATTTTCTCCAGGGGAATTGAGCTGTGTAGTCTGTAGATAGTTTGTAATTCCAAAATATCTCCAGGGCCCACCTGGAAGTTGGCAACCCTGCATGGAAGTCTTCCATTATACTACTGTGAAGAATGTCTATCAGCATGCATGTACTCTGAGAGCAATGGGAAGTTCATTTCCTTTGGTTCCTGAAGCCCCGGGCACAGCAGTATCTAGAGCCTAAGGGAGAGGTAGCATGGCGTAGTGGTTAAGAATGGTGGACTCTAATCTGGAGAACCAGGGTTGATTTCCCACTCCTCCGCATGAAGCCAGCTGGGTGACCTTGGGCCAGTCAGAGTTCTCTCAGGACTCTCTCAGCCCCACCTACCTCACAAGGTGCCTGTTGTGGGGAGAGGAAGGGAAGGAGATTGTGAGCCACTTTGAGACTCAAGGTAGAGAAAAGCAGAGGTATAAAAACCAACTCGTCTTCCTACTGTGCTACACATCATGAACTCTCTTCTCCATCACCATGAGAAAGGAAAGGGGAAAACACAGTAACCATGAGATATGGGAGAACCTGATCCAGCCTGGGCCCAATTCAGGACCTGAATTATGTTGTCAAATCTCTGGAAGAGTTTTGGCATCTCAGATCTTTTCTAGTGCAGAAGGGTGTAGAAACACAATCACGATACAGAATGCACAATTCAGTTGACAATGTGAGGGCAGAATGTCAGCCTCCTGTTAGTTATACTAAGCCTG